AATACTGAGGACCGGTTGAAATTAAAATAATATTCAACTTGAAAGGAAACTAGATGTCTGTATGGAAAGTCAAGGTTCAAGGAAAAGTAGTAAAGTAGTAAGTATATAAGTTGAGTTGACATGCGTAGTTGAAATATAGTTAGTTAATTAATTTATGATTTGTAATGGTACTTACCAGAGGATGGATTCTTCAACTCGTAATGACGATGTTCCTTCCCAAGATCGAAGGCACTCAGCAAGTCTCCTAGGGAGGTGTCAGGGTTGATGAGAGAATCGGCAGAAGACCCGGAGTATTATTTAATAATACTTTATTAATAGACTGGTTGGTTATACACTCTCGGTGTCGTAAGTCTCAACGTGACAAAGTTTTATTATAGCGGTACTGCTGGTAAGTCTTCTAGGTGTTTCTCCTTTCAGATTTTTCGATCAACTGCGCGGAGACTGAGGCTCTCGCTCCTAAGGTACTCTCGGATCCCTACTCCTTTCCAGGCGTCGGCGATGGTAGGAGAAGGCGGCTTAGGCGGCTCGACCGTTATTGCTGTCTCTCTTCTTCAAGCGCGTTGTGACGTAGTGGGCGCGCAGTACAGAGTGGGGAACGACGAAGCCGTCTATTATACATTGTGCATCGAATACATTGTTCTTTTATAAAGGTAAGTTTTATAATAATTTATTAGCAACCAGAATTTTTATAATGCATTCATATATGTCTTTTGAGTCAGTAAATTTTCCTCTATTGAATGAGACATGAATGGTTCTTGTACGACGTTTTATTTAGAAGTGAAGTTTTGTCATTAGCTAAATAACAATATAAAATTTAATTAATATTATTAATGATAAATTCTGGCATGTTAAATTATTATAATTACATTGTTAATGTTAGAAAATAATATTCGTATATATATATATAAATGTGGTGGTATAAAATTTAGTAAATTGACAGTTGTTAACAATAATAATTTTCGTGAAGACAATATTTTATAATGAAATAATAATTAATATTGAACGCTCGGAATTATAATATTATTTTAATCTGTTGCAGCGGACGAAGAATACGGCGACCGGATGAAGGGGAGATAAGCTCTTAGTGCAGTTGCACTGAACGAAGGGGAGATAATGAAGTCACTTGGTAAAAACTTTCTTAATACGCATTGTTCTTTTATTCTTTTAATAATTGCATGCAATATTCTTTCAATAGGCTTTTAAGTCCTTTGACTTCAAAGTTTATTTCGCGTATGTATATATGTGTATGTACGTTCATACGTTTAAGAGCTTTAAAATATTTTATATTATTAATTAGCAATATTAATAAGTATTAAAGACTTAGTAATATTCTTATTGAGATTGAGAATAAATCATATGCATGCTATTATGCTCTTGGGCTATTATTCTTAAGTCCTTTTGGTCTTAATACTTGGGCTCGAGACAATAGGGGAGATAACAAACATGAAGGGGAGATAAGTTGCGCTTCAACTTATTTGCGACGCTCTTATAAGCTTAAATAATTTATTCGCATATGACGTTGAATATTCACATATATATATGTATATATGCGTTTTTTTTATAATATTTAAATCATTTCTTTTACTGTCAGTGAGTATATGAAATTATAATATTCTATTTTATTGTATCTTCATTTTTGCTCTATGTTCAAATTGTATCATTGTAATTTTTAAATTTGCATATGTATATGTGTTACAAAAGGTTATATATGTAACGCACAGTATGCTGGATTAATTTTATTTCACGCTTGAAAGACTTTTCACTTCGAAGTCTTCTTCATATAAGACTCGCATACCGAGGGGGAGATAAGTCGGCCGGCGCGAAAAACATTAGGGGAGATAAATCGCGCGTCCGCTCTGTCTTAACGCATTATAATTCTTGCATGCTATTTTATTCTCGTTATAAATTTTTAATGTACCATGAGCAGTTATATGCATATTGATTGTCTTTTCTACATAGGCTTTGTTAAATGGATTAAAGTAATTTTAATACCTGAGAATAATTGTTCTTATATGCACATGTTCTCTCCTTTAATTTTTATTAATTAGTTGCATGTCTCTTATTAATTTATTACCATTCGTTGGCTGGTTTAATACTGTCTCTTCTAAAGTTATATTCTTATATTCATTCTCCTCATTTATAACTCTTATTCTCTAGGCCGTATACTAAGCTGGATGATGCAGCTACGCATGACGCTATGCACACCGGATGAAGGGGAGATAACGAATCATGCGAGGCTGACCTTGGTCGAGCATTATAAGGCTCTTATAATTTTTGCATGAGACAAAGAGTTAAGTATAAAATTTATTCATTTATTCTTATATTCATTTCTTATTGACTTTAATAATTTTGAAATATCATACAAGTCGTTTAGCATATAATTTCGTTATGAATTTATTAATATTAATTATTAGTTTTATTTAAGATCATTTATTATTCCTTATTAAATTTATTTTCAGACAATTAGACGACCACGACTGCGAGTATAAGTCTTGGCGTTACTATTATGTGGTGCCTTTTACTCTGCTATATTCTTTCGTAAGTATTTTCCTTCGAGACAGTTGCTAATTCGATCATGCATATTCTATATTGAAACTTGCGTAGGTACTTTTATGAAAATCATTTATTAATTTTATATTCGCGCTTTATATTCATCTTGTAAGATTGAATTATTAAGATTTATGTTTTCTAAAAAGCTCATGTATAAGTTCATGCGTATTCGCTTTTGTTCAGTATTTTGTATTTCAAGCTAATTTTATATTTGAAATTGTCAGTGTAATAATCGTTCTTTAATTGGCTTAAATGATGCTTTTACAGAGTTATTAAAATTATAATTACCTTGTCAGTATATATAGATTGAATAATTCATTCTTTTCAGATGGAGCTTTGCATGTACGTTGGAAGGAGACTATATATGCGTCAGTCTATACTATAGTACTTCTATAGAAAGCGATGAATAATATATGAGTAAGCATAAGTATTTTCTCTTTTATTTATTTGGCTCAACAAAATGATTTACTGTCATCGGGAGTTATTTTATAATTATTCTAAATAAATAAATCAATATATTGGTATGCATCGATTTTTAATTCCATTATGTATTTCCTTGATATTTATAAATTTTGACAACAATGGTCAGGTTCATTTTGTTGTTCCTTTAGTTTGTGTATATATATGATCTACTTCTATTATGTGTCTGGCTATGCGGTTAGTTCTACTAGTATACGATTTTATTTGTTGAATATATATAATAACGAAAGAATTAATCATGGTTTAATATGTATATATTGAATAAAATATGAGTTGAATAATATTTGATTATTGAAATAAGGAAAGAAATAGAAAAGTAAAGAAAAAATTTATTCTTGTAATATTCTTGTTGCGGGACGTAACAAATCTTTGAATGAGTAATTATTTTCTTTATTTCATTTATTTCAATAATGTCCATGTAGAATAATAATTATTATTTTTAATATGTATATTAATTATTTTATTTCTTTTACAGGTTCTCAGAATCAAAAATGGTCTTTTTGAAAAGAGAATCGCTATATACTATTATTCAATATTTCAATTGATTTCTACCAGTTCGGACTTTATGAATATTATTCTCGTATTGAAAGATGTAAGCGTTAAATTCATTCTTTATGTTAATATTTATCGTTCTTGTCCGAAATTTTAAATTAATCATTTAACTGAATAAAATTATTATTTATTGTATATATGTATATATGGTTTTATGTGAAATGTTTATTGAGTTTCCTGGAGATCAAAATCACTTGTTATATTGAGATGGTTAATGCGTTTTGGATTTTAATTTGTTTAATTATTATTTTAAGTTTTATTTACTCGGACAATGTCCTAATTGGGTTGTTAAAATTTATTACATTGATTTGAAAAGGCCTCAATATACTAATGTTGAGTTAAATATTTTATTTTTAAGTGTTTGTTTTACGAAACTTTATTGTATGTATTTCACATATACTATATATATATAGTTTATACCTTATATTTGTATTTGAATTTTTCATGGATATTTATTAATGACTCTATTGACAATTTTGATTATTCATGCAAACTATCAGCTGCTTATTAATACTGTTAATGAAGATGTCTAGCATTCATATAATTATTCATTTGATTATTTAGTTATATCATATGTATTGATTTTATACTTAGTACTTTAATTCTTTATAAATTTTTATTGTTTATTATATGTATATCGTGAAGTGTAAAGAATATTTATTAAATTTATTTATATATGAATTTTATTCGGTTTTAAGTATATAAATTAAATTTATATTGAATTTTGTTTATATGGTTAAATTTCCGAGTTTATATTATATTTTTATTATTTCTGTTACGTTTTTGAGATTTCGTTGTTACGTCTCGATCGTAACTTCTCACGTATTTATTTGTTACGCAATTGTAACTTCTCTCTATTTCTTTTTCAGGGCAACCTGCCAAGCCGGCTATACCCTAGGACGCCGAGAGACTAAGAATCTTTTGCGCTTCTTTCAGGAGAGGGATTGACGATGGGAAATAGATTAGGTGCGTTGAACCTGACCCAATTTATCCCTTTTTTGATCTGTTTTCTTTTATTAGTTTACTTCCTTAGAGCTTTACAAATTCTTTATTATTGTTATTATTGTTATTATTTGACAGTTGTAGATAGTGTATATCGTTATACGTATAGATGTGTGTATGTAGTTAATGTTCTTCTCTATAGCATTTCTAAGGCGATATCTAGATATGGTTATTATTCGCGGTTGTTGAAGAAATTATCTCGCTGCAAGTATTCGTAGATCTCGATAAAATCTTCGTCTGTTAGTCCTGCGAGGGGTTGGATACTGCTTGGTAAGACTAGGTCCTCTGGTTCCGGGTAGAAATTTGGTTCAGGGGGATCCAGAACTTGACCTGGGTTGGATGGACCAGCCTCAGTTTCTGTGCTTTGTTCTATGGGTCTTCGTTCTTCCGGTATGGAAGGAAGATCTTCCGGGTCCTGACCGGCGAGTAGCTGGGATTAGATGAATCCTGGATGGGGGAGTAATTGGGCGATGGCGGCCTGGCTCTGGGCTGTTGTTCCTCTTGAAGAACCGCTGGAGGGTTTCGGGGAGGACGATAAGGGTATGCGCGGGAGGGCGCGAAACTACGCACTGGAGAGTACCTTGTTACTCTGCTTGTTAAGTCGTTCTCGTCGGCAAACAACTGACGAGCTGTAGGGAGCCTAAGTACCGACCGGGAGGCACGCCTGCGGCGTATACCCGCGGCACGGAGGGAAATTTCGCGTCCAACGGAAGAAGTTCGGCGGGGGTTAACCATCTACCGAGGGAATACGACTATTTATTATGTTTGATGCGATTGATTTAACACAAAAGGGGTTTACTTACGATGATGCGTAGAAAGGTACCTGTTAAGATGAATGGTTTTATAAGGTAAATGTAGTCACAGCAAGGTGGTTCATAGAGTTAAGACGAATAATACGGCTTAACGGATTATTATGAGATAAACGAATGTAGATTATGATAGTATATCTCACTCGTTCTCATATCATGGTTGAAACGTTCGGCTATATACAGTTCATTGGGGTACAGCAATTAATGATTTATTTAATATATTTTGAATTTTTCAGGGGCATGCGGTTGCACCGAGAGGTCCGGAGATTCAGAGGGTACAGACAAGGGTACGGGTAAGAGCGGCTGGCTTACTTCAGATAAGTATAAAATTCATAAAATGTTTTGATAGTTAACTTGTAAGCCAGTGCATTAATTCTATTATTTCGACAGATCCTCTAGGAGCGAGTCTTAGATTCTGAGTCTAGTATCGATGTGCAAGACGTCACGTCACAGCGGCACAGGATCCACGGAGAAATTCTTTCAGAGAAGCTCTCCGTGAAAGCGGCAGAGGAGTAGAATTTGCTACTCAATGCACATCGAGTGACTAACTCGAACGACGCTACACTCTAGGATACGCTTGAGCGTTCTCAGAGGATCGGTTGAAATTTAAATAATTCAACTCGAAAGAAAAATTTAAAGTCTGTATACGGACAGGTAGGATTCTGGGAAAATTGTCGTACAACGGATGATAATTTATCTAGCATATACTGAATTTCCAGGAGCATGCGGCTGCACCGAGAGGTCTGGAGATTCAAGGATACAGACGAGGATACGGGTGGAAGCGGCTGGCTTACTTCAGATAAGTATAAAATTCATAAAATGTTTCGATAGTTAACTTGTAAGCCAGTGCATAAATTCTATTATTTCGACAGATCCTCTAGGAGCGAGTCTTAGATTCTGAGTCTAGTATCGATGTGCAAGACGTCACGTCACAGCGGCACAGGATCCACGGAGAAATTCTTTCAGAGAAGCTCTCCGTGAAAGCGGCAGAGGAGTAGAATTTGCTACTCAATGCACATCGAGTGACTAACTCGAACGACGCTACACTCTAGGATACGCTTTGAGCGTTCTCAGAGGGTCGGTTGAAATTTAAATAATTCAACTCGAAAGAAAAATTTAAAGTCTGTATACGGACAGGTAAGATTCTGGGAAAATTGTCAATATATTTAGAATAAATCAACCTAATATACGAAGTTATTATCAAGGTTGATTAAGAATGATTATTATTTTATTATTTCCTTACCGGATGACGGGATCAATGGATGAATGCAGGCACCGCTGCTCCTTCCCTCGGTGAGAACCTGAAGAAGTGGCAAGGCAGCGCAGAGAATGGCCAAAGAGTCAGAGGTTGCTGGATGGTAGCACTTTATTAAAGTGTTAATGTTGATACAGCTCTCTTAATAGAGATTGAGACTAAGTCCCGAAAGAAAAAAAAATCAAAATCGCGACTAAGTTATTTTCGAATAAGTTAAGGTGTCCGGTAGGCTTCTAGGTTTGTCCTCTTCGAGAGCTGGAGATCTGATGGGCGTAGAGAGAGCTGAGACACAGGCGAGTTAATGGCGCAGAGAGACACCGGCGGCGGCGGCGGCGGCCTTATATACCTTCCTCTGGTTCGATGTTTAATGGTAGGGAGAAGAGGTGGGCCTTTTTGGTGATTGGTGGGTCGGCTGCTGGAGCTATCCCTTCCTGCTATGAGTTTGCGATGTGGTGGGTGAGAGTTTTGTGGTAGGGATTGCAAGTCTTGCGTCTTAGATTTATTAAATAATTTTAGAATAATTTTTAATAATGATTTTTAACAATCAGAATTTTTTATAATATCGTATTTATGTTATTAGAAAATTTGAGTTCGATTTATAACAATTGTTTAAATTTTAAGTGATATTTTGGTAAATTCTGATGTATTAAACCATTATTATTACAATGATTTTTACAATGGTGCGTATATAGTTAAAATTAATAATTAGTGATTAATTAATATTTAGTAAATTAATAATTAGTAATAATTAGTAAAGAAAAATTTAGCATTTGGATTGCAGATTCTAACGCAACGGATGCGAAGATGGCTTATCTCTTTTTCTAAAAATAGATATGCTGGATGTCCTTCGAAGAATGCTCACTGCATTCTTTCTCTTTATAAGACACATTAGTAACAGTAATATTTTTTAAATGAATTACCTTTTAAAATTCGTTTACGTGGCTTAAACTGGCATATTACACGTAATATTCCCAGGTTTAATAATTATCTTAAGGTTAATTATTGAGATTTATCATTCACAAGATTTATTTAATAAAGGCTTTAACAATTAGAATTTTTGTGGTTTTATATGTATATATTTTAAAATTTTCAAAGTCGACTTTTAATGATTACTCAAGTCTATGAATAATATTTTAATAAATTCTAATGCGTTAAGCCATTATTATTACAATAAATTTTACAATAAGAATATATGGAAATTAATTATCGCTTCGCTTAATAGTTATTATGTCGCTAAAAGAAATTTTATTCTTACAGTTCTCGGAACAACGTATGAAAAAGCGGCTCGTTTTACTTCTAAGAATGATCACGACGGATGTGCTCGAAGAATTCATTGCACGCTCTACCGTGATCTTTTATTCAAGAGGTCTTTTGATTCTGACAATATTTTATTCTTTGAAGATTTTCATTTGGGCGACTTTTATATTAGCACATATATATATATATATATATGTATAGATATGTATTCGCATATTGCTTATGAAAATTGATTTCAGCAAGTTTTTACTGAATCGTATTTAATAATCATCGTATAAGATTAATAATTATTGTATAAAATCTTGGGGTTATTAATATTAATTATTTGTTAATATTCGTAATATATATATATATATATGTTTTGTGTGCTGATTAATTTTGTCGCGGTAGCAGTCTATTATATCTCCTCCTTTGTTTTATTGTTAAATTTGTTACAAAATGTATATGCATATAGCATGCATATACATATAGGGATATTGTTGGACAAGTTAATATATATATGTGTCAATTTCTATCGCGACGCGTATTTATTGTATTTATACCTTTATTTTATTGAGTTTTGTTATAAAATATATATGCGTATATGTAAATTTATTCAATTTATATATTACGTATAGTATGCATATATATAGGGAGATTTCTGGACATGTTAATATATATATGTGTCAATTTCTATCGCGACGCGTATTTATTGTATTTATACCGTTATTTTATTGAGTTTGGTTATAAAATATATATGCGTATATGTAAATTTAGTCAATTTGTATGTTACATATAGTATGCGTATGTATAGGGATAATTTTGGACAAGTTAAGATATATATTTGTAAATTTCCATCGCAACGCTTATTTATTGTATTTATACCTTTATTTTATTGAGTTTTGTTATAAAATATATATGCGTATATGTAAATTTATTCAATTTATATATTACGTATAGTATGCATATATATAGGGAGATTTCTGGACATGTTAATATATATATGTGTCAATTTCTATCGCGACGCGTATTTATTGTATTTATACCGTTATTTTATTGAGTTTGGTTATAAAATATATGTGCATATATGTAAATTTATTCGATTTATAGGTTACATATAGTATGCATATATATATAAAGGTGTATATTTTTATCTATTAATATTTGTTAATTTTTTGTCCTGGCGATTGTTTATTACGTCTCTACTTTTATTTTATTGGATTTTGTTATAAAATATGTATGCATATGTGTATATGTAGTCAGTTCATATGTCACATATAGTATGCATATATATGTATATAGAGGTATATGATACTGGATAATAGTGTGATATTAATAGAAAATGCTTTGTTAATGCTTAATTATAAAAGAGAAGTCGATGTATTAATTTGGTTTGCATTCATGCGAGCGCGAATTTAGATCTTCCCTCTGCCTTTAGGTCGGGAGAGGATGTTTAAAAATTCCAATGGAGATAACGCGACGTGCTGGACTTGGCCTTGCACGCTTGTTCGACTCGTAGAGTTATACGCATAATATTCTTTGTGCAGTATTATTCGTAAGTACACATATTATTTCTCTATTTCTCTCGTGTTTTCACGTTTTATTTCCTTTGACTTAATGATACATGTATATTATGCATGGTAAGAAGTTGCTGTCATTATATTCATTGTTGTAATTTTTTATTTTTATTTAATAAAGTTTTTGAATTTAGATTCTATTTTTCGAGTGTCATTTTGCACATTATGTACCTGGGCTCTATTCATTTCTCGGAAGGTTTTAGTCTTACATTATTAAATTTGCATATGTTCATATGCACGTACATATATATATATATATATATATATATATATATATATACGTATAAGAGTGCTCATATGTAAATGTTCGTGCATTTTACAATTGTGTATATACATTTTATATTCATAGTAGCTATAGGTGTCCATCCTTAATATTATTATTTTATTTATTCAGGCGATACTTTTGCCAGGGGGGTACCCGGTGAGTAGGAACACGAATATAGGGTGTCCATATATTTTCGTCATATGAAGACTTACTAGTAAGTAATATTCTGACATAATTATACTTAATAAGGTTTGGTATTATGAAATTTTGTCATTAAAGTACTTGAAAAAGGGGGATTATTATAGTTGAAAACTTTTTATATGAAGTGTTAATATTTTATAAGGCTTGGTACATGCATTCATATATAGAAGAGTGTGATCGTAAATGTTCATGGTTGATTTTTGATGATGTTCATTGGCCTTATTCTGATTTTTTAATTATTTTAATCTAAATTTTATATTATTTTGTTCATTTATGCTAGTTGGTTTTTCTTTCTTTTCATTGGCTCATGTGTATATGCCTTAAGCATATAGATGCTATCCATTTTGTTATACTTAACGCTTTGCAAATTTTTATAAAATATTGACAGCCTCGTGTTAGAAATTATTATTCTTATGACCAAATATTATTTTACATTAATTTTTCAGGCATCCAGGAGGGGGGTCATGTGACTTCGTCATATAAGGTATTCTTATTTGATTTTCAGGTAAGATCACTTTAAATTATTATTTGTGTTATGGGCCGCTAGTATTTGGTTAAATTTCGTTATTAGCTTATTATAAGTGAATATTTTATTTGTTAAGGTCTTATTATTCATTTATTATTGGTTATAAGAGTGGATGCATATATATATATATACATATATATATATATATTCATATGTATAATTGTTAGAATTATTTTGTAGAATTTGAAGCTAGATTTTACTACCAAAATTTTGTTTCTGAAATTCTCTTATCGTTAATATTTCTATTAATTTATGGTCTAAGAACATATATTCATTTTTATTTGTTTTTAGGTGTCAACAGGTTTAGCAAGAAAACAAGCAGTGCTGAATTAAAATGTTGATGGTCAAGGATATATTATTATTTCTAAGGGTAAGTCTTATTAAAATTTATGCAAATTCATTATTGTTATTATTATTGTTATTAGTGTTATTATTATTATTTGCATTTAAGCAATTTCAATTTTAATCATAGAGAATTATTAGTACCATATAATTTATTAGTTTTATCAATTGTTAAATTTTGGTTATTATCTTACGTTTTTATTTATAATTTTGTCTTTACAAGTTTCATAGGATATTTATTAAATATTCATTGTTAGTTGGGGATTAATATATATATATCTTGTAATTATTCAATGGCACTTAAATTATATTATTATAAATATTTTAACATTTATTATTCTTGTATTTGTTATGTTATCCTTGTGACGATATTAAGTCGGATACTAGTAATTTTGATTTTAATGATATTATTTAGAGGGAGAGTTCGTTTGATATTTATACGATTTTGTTTTGTATTTCGATTATTAGTATCGCGATATTATTTAGTGCATAGCTATTATTTATTTGGTTTTATGATTTATAGGTTATACTGGGAGCAGTATATCGATGGTCAATGGAAAATAAAATATTATCGTCGTGAGGGGTTACATCTATATACCCAATATGTTGGAATTATTATCCCAGAGATGTATACGAGAGCGTTTTCACCCAAGTTTGGACGTCATTTTTTTGATGAATTAGTCGACTAGTGTGGTGATCTACTTGGTCATGGTATCATGATTATATTATTTTTATAATTCTATTGTAAAAGATCTCGAAGTTACAACACTTTTGTTTGGTAAATTTGATTGTTAGCATCATATTTATACTTCTAGTGAGTAGGGACTGTTATTTTAGAACTATATACGGGAGCATATTAGGACGTGTACTTATTTTGATTAA